AGATGTCCAAAGGAAAACCCAAAGTAGGTATGGCCTGTCTCTTATACACATCTAGATGTGTATAAGAGACAGGTGTGTGTGTGTGTGAAAAAAGGGGGAATGCTATAGTGAAACAAAGTTGCTGTTCAGATGACAGGTTGCTTATGCACAGGAGATGGAAGTCACTTCTCACCTGTCAGTGGGGCCTCTTTGTGGACGCACTGCACCCTGAACTTGCCCAAAAGCTGCAACTTGCATCTCTACCCTCAGATCAATGCAGAGTTTCTCAAATGCATCTGTTGCCGAGAAATACTTCCCCTGGCCAACGGCTTCGGAGGGACAGATAGGTCTATCAACGAAACGTGCGAGGGAGTGCAACTTGATGGAGGCATCTGCACCTGCAGTGATCAATAGCTTTGAGTGTGGGTCATAAATGCATCGCCAGATTCCTCGTCCTCTGTCAAACAGATATAACCACATCAGTGACACAAGGGCCTCATCTAATACCAAACAAGTCATTCACTCATCTTTTGTTAAAGTTACTCCGCTTACTTTCACTGATTTCCTGCTGCACACAGAACACACACATACTTCTTCACTCGGTTGCATAATTTCCCTCTGCACACATCCTTACTTAGTTTCATTGATTTCCCTCTGCACACATCTTCACTTAGTTTCGTTGGTTTTCCTACACACACACACACACAAGTTCTTCACTTATTTTCATTGATTTTCCTTCGCCCAGGACTATGAAAGGATTTCGCGTGTCTCAGCATCTAACTCCCACATCCAGTTCCGAAATCCTAGAGTCCCATGTACCTAGTCTGTGCAGTCGGCTCAAGCAGTCCGATAGGCCCAGGTGGCTAGGGTGTTAGACTGTCGGTCCAGTCACAGCTCAGTCCCAGGAAAGTTCATGTAAGTGTGTCTAACTGCCAAAAAAACTGGTTTGGTATAACCTTGCATTGTAGGTGGTTTATCTGCGGCAGATGCCTTATCTGGGGTGCTTACGCAGTAATGTTAAAGGTAAATCTGGATATATGCAGAAACCTCCAAGTATCCAAGACGCAGTAATGTTAAAGGTAAATCTGGATATATGCAGAAACCTCCAAGTATCCAAGAATGAATGCATCAGTGTGGATAATCAGCAGGGAAGGAAATCTAAATATGATTGTAAAGCCACAACAAAATAATAGAGAAATCAGAAGAACAGAACAAATGAAAGGATTTCATGCTGCAATCTTCCCAACTCCCGGTTCCAGGGTCCCAAAATGTTCCAGTCCCAGGAGTTCCCAGTGCCAACAAGGTCCCGGTAGGTCCAGTGACTCCAGTCCCTAGTAGGGTCTATAGGGCTATAGGGTCCAGTAGGTGGAAGCATTTGCAGGATAGGTCGGACCAGAAATCAAATAGCCAGTTCGTTAGAAGTCGGGCCCGATACCGACAAGGAAGTCCAAGCCCCCAAAGTCCAAATTTGCAGCAGCGTCCCAGAATGGTCTGGAAGTACAAGACAGACAAAATCATTGCAGCAGCCAGGCCGCAGGTGGTCGGGACCGGTCTGAAGCAGACCAAGACACCAAACAAAGGCTATATTTAGTTGCTACAGTGCAGCCGGGCATTCATTCGAAGCTGCGCTAGTTGCAGAAGCGCTGCATGCTGCTTGTGAGACCACGCGACTTTGGAGCCGTGCCTGGAAGAGGAAGAGGGAGCTAGGTCAACCTCCACAGTTAGCCGCTCCAGTTGGGAGGTGACCTAAAGCGGGTGTATTCAGGGTTGATCTAGTAGTAGTAAGGCATGTGTATACTTGGGGGGCAATACAAGACCAGAGTCAAGAGCAATGCGTGCAAGAGAGAGAGAGAGAGAGAGAGAGAGAGAGAGAGAGAGAGAGAGAGAGAGAGAGAGAGAGAGAGAGAGAGAGAGAGAGAGAGAGAGANAGAGAGAGAGAGAGAGAGAGAGAGAGAGAGAGAGAGAGAGAGAGAGAGAGAGAGAGAGAGAGAGAGAGAGAGAGAGAGAGAGAGAGAGTGATTACATACCTGTTGGTACTTCGATGGATGTATGGCTGAAGCTGGCGGTTACCAAACTCTCTTTGTATCATACATTTTGATTCTTTGAGATATATAAAGCTTTTCTCATCGGAGTGTCAATCATGTGTTGTGTGAATCTTCTTAAACTTTCCTGTGTGAGACTTGCACCTTCGAGGGTTGAGTGTCAGGCGGCTCTTTGCACTGGTATCAGAGCTGCTTCCCGCTGCACCCGTTTGCAGAATCTGGAGCGCCGACATGGTGAAAGCACAGCGGGTGTGATCGTGGGGATGTGACTGGAGGAAGGGAAGAGGGCTGAAGTAGGAGGGGCAGTGTATCCCAATAGCGCTTACCTGGAGTTGCAGCCGCGCAAGGCGCATCATGAAAGAAACATTCAATAGTGAAGTGCTCCGCCACCCCCAAAGCCCTGTTCTGCTGTTATTTTGCAATTTTGTTGATGGATGGTACTTCCCACTTGCAATCTGGATGTCCACTGCTGTTTGGACTCATGTATGGTTGTCTTTAGCTCTGCTTCGTCTTTCGAGTCTCGTTGAGTCTTCCGATTGAGTCTGTACAGTGGATCTGCCTACCTTTGTGTCTCAGTCCAGAGGACTGTACTCTCCTGGGGGAAAGGCTCCTCCACTTCATGGGGAAGTGGTTGCCAGCCTACCTGGGCGCATGCATACCCAGTGGGACCCTAACCCTGTGAGAGATCAGAAATCTTGTGTCCAGGAGTAGTAGGCCGACAGCTGGATGAATCACCTGCGAAGAGGTGCCTGTTTGCGTTGTTAAAAAATTCATGAGGTCTATTTGCTGGCAGACCTTAAATTGCTGGTTGGCCACCAGCTCTGCAGGGGAGTCGTAGTGACGGTCGTAGGAAGGGAAGTAGATTGTTCAGACCCCGATCTAGGTTAGGGTTAGTAAGAGTGAGTGTTGAGCATTAGGACCAAGTGTTGAGGGAGAAGGTCTACGTGGTGAGGAGGTGGAGTAAACTTACCAACTGTTCCGCTTGTTGTTCCCTCTCGGCTTCTACAGGACTCGTAGGAGAGAGGTGTTGTTACTAAATCCCGCGCCATTACCGAACCATACACTCTGGAGGAACAAGCTTGAATGGTGGACAGCCTAAATGAGAGGAAGAAGAGATGAAGAGGAAGGCGGAGTAGGCAGTGAAAAAGACAAAAGAAAAAAAGTTGGAAAAAGAGACGGAGGAGGAGCTGAAGGTAGAAGAAGAAGAAGAGAAAGTGGAGTTCATAGTGGAAACAGAGAAAGGGAAAGCAACGGAAGGGGAGGTGCACTAGGTGGTGAAGCAGGAGGAGGAGACTGAGAGTAAACAAGCACCACCCCTCCACATCAAACTGTTGCAAGAGGATGCAAGTGAATGGGCCAGGCAATTTGATTTCGAGGATGAGAGTCCAGATGATGAGACCCCGAAGGAGATGGCCGCCTTCAAGACTGCTCTAGAAGGGGCCACAAAAGAAGACGGACTTGATGATAGAGGAAAGGGAGTCCCAAATTCGCTTGAGAATGGTGGCACAACAAAGAAGATAATTTGAGAAGCTGAGGGAGGAGGGAGAAGCACTGCAAAGAAAACAACATGAGCAAAAGGAACAGAAGGGGATGTGGAAGCCCGATTGATCCTCCTAACCAACATTGTCCTCCATTCTGCCCAAGAAACCGCAGCCCTATGGAAAACCATTGAGAAGGTGGACCATGTCCAGGAGGACCTCAAAGGTCGATGGAGGAATTTCGTTGTAGCCACCATGAGGAAAATGGATGAGAGACAACCTTTTACGCAACTCACCTTGAGCAGTATTGCACTAAAAAGATAGTGCGCACCATAGGTGGAGGAAAGGACGCGAATGGAGGAGATGGTGGGAAAGGAGGAGGAGATCGGAAAGGAGATGCAGGGCAACCTGAGGGAGAAGCTCAAGGTCAAAGTGCCCTGGAGCTATACGGGGAATGGGGATGATAACCTTACACAATGGGAGTCAGCGGTCCTGACATACCTCTACGCAGAACTAATCCCAGAGTGAGGCAGGGTCTTGATGGTCTAAGCGTTGCTAACTGTGCAACCTCGTTAACTGAAGCGGCAGGCTGTGGTAGGAATATGGTAGAATATTCCAAAAGGACCAATATTGAAGTGTTTTTGAAGCCCTACTAGAACGGTGTCGGGACCTTTGGTTCCGGAATCAAGTCCCGACCTTTTAGACGTGATATATGGCTAATATGTGCACGACAGAGGAATCTTGAATAAGGAGACACGAGAGAAAGGAAGACTGAAGGACTAAGGCAAGATCGCCGACGCCAAAGACTGAAGAGGGGGCCCAAGAACGCCAGAGCCTTAGGGCCGGGAATAGACTGCGGAATTGCGGCCGGCAAAATGCTACAGGAAATTAGTAAAGGCGACCCTCCTTGAAAAAGGAGGACCGCCATAAAAATAATACCCAGATGCCAAGTACCGCAAAAAGGAGGGGCCCGACGACACCAAGGAAAATAGCATCTTAGTGTCGGCACATGAGATCATAGCATGTGCCCGGGAGGGCCACCTAAATACGGCATGAGAAAAGCCTAAGGACCATGGACCAAGCAAGGAGGGTATAAGAGGACTAATAGTTACCACCGAAATAAGCGCCCAAGCTGGGGCAATCTGAAAAATAAGTGGCCTTTGGGAGCCAAAATGAAAAGGGCTAAAAATATAAAAAGAAAAAGAGAGCCTCAATTTTGAGGCTTGCATGCCTTGAAATTGATGACTCAAGAAGGAGGCAATGGATCACAAGGGCCTTAACTGTGGAGTGCCCAGGTACGCTGAGCCTGAGAAATGAGGTTCTAGTCTGATCCAAAATGAAACGAACAGCAAAGGTGAGAAAAGTGCCTAAGGGGAGAATGGGAGAGGTAGGAGAGTGTGGGAGTGGAAAAAAGGCAAGCCGCCACATCACGGTCAGCTTTCCCCTTCTCAAAAGAGGCCTAGGTGCCTTGAACAGAACTGCATCAAGTCCAGATGTAGTTGGGACAAAAATGGACGAAAATGGACACCTAGAGCAAAAGAAAACACATGTTTAGATGCATTTTGTAACCGAATTCATCATAGTGTTAAGATCCTGGCCAATTTCGAGATACACATTCATCAGATAGTACAATGTTTGTCCAATTGCAGAAAGAAATGAATGAACTTGAGAAGACAGAGAAGGTTAGAAGAAGAAGAAAGTGAGAAAGAGAAGAAGATGATGTACACCAGCATAGACAAACGATAAGCTCTTCTTCTTCGCTCCACCCTCTCTTCCTCCTTATCTCCTCCTCTCTTATTCACACAAGAAGTCATAATACAATGTTGGATAGCTGAGCCAGAACCAAAGTCTTAATCCTTCTTCTACTGCAGGTATCACTTGAGGTCCACCATAGCCATGGCCGCCTCTCCCACTCTTCTCTCTCATAGGCCGAGGCT